TGGGGGGATGTCGGGATGGGGGCGTGCTCAGGTGGTGAGGATAATGCAATGAAAGAGAGAGAGTCTGGAAAAAGGAAAGGTGAAGATATTTAGAGAAAACTGCTGCAACTCAGGAGCAGCCGGGTTTCTTGAAGTCAGTCTGTGCAGTGAAAGGATACAGATTCCAGGTGTGAGACGGAAAAGGAAATGCAGGGAAAGAATGAGAGACTAGGGAATCAGTCGTGAGCTTTGTTCCTATAGTAGGACTCCAGTCAGGAGCTGGAAGCACAGGGAGGGTGCTCACTCTTTCCAAGAAGAAGAAGAAGAAGAAGTAGAAGTAGAAGCAGGAGGAGGATTGAGGCGGCTGAACTCACCGGGAGGAAGCCATCAGCTGAATCATACTGGTAGTCCAGCTCTGAGTCAGCATTCAGCAACTGGGGAGGGTAGGACTGGGACATGCGGTCAACCTCCCCATCACCTGAGAGCAGGGTGGCAGCTGAAAATGTAGCCGTGTCGTTTTCTGCCTGGAGAGCACCCTCAGTGGAGTTTTCTGCTTCCTTTCGCCAGAGGGGCAGCTCAGAATCAGCAGCTGGGCTTCCTGCCTCAGTGTGCAAGTCCTGCAGTGGTACCAGTGTGGGTGTCTGGGGCGAGTCCAAGGAAAGGGAAGGCTCAGAATCAGCCGGTTCACCCATATGGAAAAGTGTGGGCGGGGGGAAGCCAGGCAGCACCATGGTGGGAGCCTCTGCCAGGGTCAGCGCTTCTTTGGCTGCCTGCCGTTCGCTGGGGGGTGAGGCCGTCACCACCTCCGGTGGCGAGGAGTCTGGGATCATCAGAGGCACGACAGGGTCCAGGTCCCCACTGAGACCATCAGCCACGGTGACGGGCGTCAGCTCTGCCGTGGCCACCGTGACACTCTGTGTAGCTACAGCATCTTCCAAGTCACTGCGTGTGACAGTCTCAGAGGCTTCACTCGCTTCTTCTTCTCTGGTGGTGACCTCCAGGCCTGGAGAGGTGCTGGGTGGTAGAGTGGGAGGCTGAGGGGGCAGCGTAGTGCCCGGGTGGGTTGGCTCACGGCTGGTACTGGTGTGTGAAAGAGTAGGCGTTGTTAACTCCTTAGTGGTAGCTATGGTGGTGGCGGCTGCGGTTGTTGTCGTCGTCTTCGTCGTGGCAGTAGTTGGCGTGGTGGGAGGAGTTGTGGGGGTAGCTGTTGTGGTAGTGGTGGCTGTGATGACTTTAATAGTTTTGGTTGTAGGAGGAGAGGAGGTGGGTAGTTTAAACTGGGGGAGGAGGAGGAAAAGACGAGGAGAGGGTGAGGCAGAAGGAAAAAATAAAAAGGAAAAATCAAGGAAAAAAGACAGACCATGTGACCTGCTGTTAATATGGCTCATGACACCTGAAAGAGTGATTTGTGTTAGCAGCACTGATTT